CAGGATGAAGTTTCTTCTTGTCCCCTGTTCTTGTAATGTTTATTGAATCACTATGTTTGACATAGAGGGGAGATTTCAAGAGGGCCAATGACTTTACTCCCAGCCTTTTATCTCTAAGTGGCCTCAAAATTGTAAGTTCTTGGTTTTGAGGGTATACTATAATAAAAACAGAGGCAGAAAAGACAAAACAAACAATCTTACAAACATAGCAGTTGTTGGTTTTATGACTTAAAGTCACAATTATTAGAAAAGGGTCTAACAAGTTGGGTGCATGAAATTTAGCCACAGAAAGGACAAGAACCAGTCTCTGCTAGCCAGAACAAAGGCTAACATTGTGAGATTTCAGTGGCATAATATATGGGCTTCAAATAAGACTTCTGGTCAGTGCGATATAAAGGAAGTGCTTCATTAGCTATCATAGTGCATACCTCTCAGCCTTGTACCACATGGCAGCATGTAGCAAAGGCATGGGCGCAAAGAATGAGCTATTCACTCAGGTTTCATAATCTTGCTCTGTTTCAGCCTCCCGGGTTGACAGCTTTCAAGTTAAGCATGGAAGGCTCTAAAGAAAAGTATTACATTCTTTAGTGATATAGTTTGTTTTTGGAAAATGCCTATCTAAAATAAGGAGATAAAATAAGTTTAGCCTGTGAGCTCAATTTATTACATTAGCTGTCTTTCCAGAGCATAGTGATATTTTTATGATTACTTTGAACACTTTAGTAAAATAGTTTTACAGAAAGATTCATCTCAAATGAAATTATTTGCAATTTCTATGTCATTCACTCTATGCAATTAAATGATTATTCATTTTACAGTGAAAGCTTACTTTGTAAGTAGAAAAATTACAGTAACATGCTGTGCAAAGGTATTGAATAGTAGAAAAATAATTCCACTTAGTAGTTTTTAGGAAAACCACTGTGAATGCCAATCCTATCATCCATAACCAGATCCCCGTACTTCAAGGAAAACACAAAACTATATTTACTGAAATATAAATTAATGGAAACATTTCTGAATTCATTTTATACACCTTCTGTGATTCGAAGGGAAATAAATTATAGTTAGAGTCTCATTTATATTCATTTCTTAGATTCCAAGGTCAGTCTTGAATAGTATTGCCCAAAGGCTCCTTACTGTATAAAATTGCAGAAAGATGCCCAGAACTATTCTGAATTTGAACTACAATGAAGGAAAAATAAATAAGATAGTTACCTATTAGGCTAGAGACAGAAAACCTAGATATTATGTTACTATAGAATGTTCAAGACAATTAGCAAAAGAGATCACACAATTCAAATTCATATTTAACATTATTTATTGTTAAATTGCATTGCTGCCCTTAAATATATTGGAGATACTTATTTCTAAAATAATTGAGTAATATATGACATACGTCCTTTGAATTTTACCAGATACTCAGATGGAGCAGTGGGAAATCATTGCTTATTGCCTAAAATCATTAAAAATCCTGGAATAAACCCATCAATATATCTAAAAAGAACTGTAAAAAAATTTTTTTTACTTATTTTCAAATAAGAACAATATTTTCTTAAAACAATTTCTTACTTAAAGTATGAGATGTGAGCAATCACTTTATAAGCTGGCCACTGGAGTTTATGCAGTGTCAGAGAATGCAACTTGTACCCAGAAGGCCCCCACAGATCATCTAAAATAAAGATGTTTCTTAATTAACAAGTAGGTTCCTGTATTTAATAATTGCTTTTCTCACTTAGCAAATCACTAGCAGTTTTCATACTAAAAGTCAACCCCAAAACCAGTCTGCTTAATTAGCCTTTAACCTGGTTTCCATATGAATCACGTATTATGGGTTGAATTATAGTCCCCCTCCCCCATTCTTATGTTGAAGTCCTAACCTCCAGTACCTCAGAATGTGATCCTATTGGGAGACAAGGTTTTTACAGAGATAATCAAGTTAAAATGAGGTCATTAGGGTGGGCATTAATCTACTATGGCCAGTGTTCTTATTTTAAAAAAGGAAATTTGGACACAGAGACACACATAGAAGGATAACACCATGTGTGCATGAAGACAGCCAACTATCTACAAGTTAAGGCTTGAAACAGATCCTTCCCTCACAGCCTTTAGAAGGAACTAACCCTATGAATGCCTTGATTTCAGTGATAATTTTCTTTACAAAAAGACCACTGTGATCATGCTCATTTTTCTTAATTCTAAAAAATGTTTTGGTTAAAATTGGGACATTCAAAATATCTAGGCTCAAACTTTATGTGTAAATTTACATTGTAACACTTATATAAATATTAATGTAGATAAATATCACATATTTTGAAATTATTTAACAATGAAATGCCACTACATTTTCAGAATTTAGTTTATTTAAACTTAATATTTTAAAATGCAAAACTGGGTAAAACAAATGATATTCTCACAATATTGAGAAAACATAGATGAAAAATTTATTTATAATCTTTCATTGGAGATCTTGTTCTTTATTAATTTATTAATTTCTTCAACTATCTAGCTATTTATCGACCTGAGCTTTGAAATAATAGCATTTGATATCATGCAGATCATTTTGACTTCTTTTTTTTTATTTCAAAATATTAAGGGGATACAAATGTTTTTGGTTACATTGATCACTTTTGTAATGCTTGAGTCACAGCTATAAGTGTGTCCATCACCCAAATGGTGTTCATTGTACCACTTAGGGAAGTTTTGCCCCTTCCCTCTCCTTCCTCCTTTCTTGATTTCCACTGAGTTTTACTGCCCTCTGTGCACTTGTGTGCTCATTGGTTAGTTCCAATTTAATAATGAGTACATGTGGTGTTTGTTTTCAAATCTCGAGATACTTCACTTAGGATAATGGTCTCTAGTTCCATCCAAATTGCTGCAAAAGGCATTAATTCATCCTTTTTATGGCTGAGTAGTACTCCATGGTGTGTGTGTGTGTGTGTGTGTGTGTGTGTATGTATGTATATCTATCTCACATTTTATTTATCCACTCATGAATTGATGGGCACGTGGGTTGATTCCACAACTTTGCAATTGTGAATTGCGCTGCAATAAACATTGGATTGCAGGTGTCTTTTTGATAGAAAGATCTCTTTTTCTTTGGGTAAATACCCAGTAGTGGGATTACTGGATTGGTCTACTTTTAGTTCTTCGAGGAATCTCCATACTGTTTTCCATAGCTAGCTCCCTTGTTCAATGTTATGGGGAAAATGTGTTATACTGAATTGTATGTAAATATGAATGTATAAATATTCAGAGAATGAGGGAAGGTTTGACATAAAAATTGAAAATAAAAATCTTGAGCCCTGTTGGAAATTGCTTGGCACTATTCACCAATTATCTGCTATATCTTTTTGAAGACTTACATTATGTGATAAAACATAATTTGAGTTGAAAAAATGAAATTGGAATCTCCTTATATTCAACATGAAGCTGGCTTATATAATATTTGAAAGATGTTTTTTGAATATTTCAGACTTTTGACTCTGCCGAAGTGAACATTTGGGGAATAATATTAAATACATCTGACTAGACCTGAATAATATGCCACCTCCGACATGGAGGAAAGGGGAGGAGGGGGTGGAGAGAACTTGAGAAGGGTGTCCATTGTCTTGGAATTATCTTAGCTATTGAGTAAGACCTAGATTAGGGGATTATTAAAACATAGAAAAAGTCCAAATCCAGAGTTCAATATTTCATAATTGTTGAGAATAATTAATAAACCTCTACCATATTTTTAAAAATAAGCTTGTTATAAAAATATATATCCTGGGTAGCAGCCTAAATTTAGAGGGTTCAGGAAGATCAGGAAGAAAAAAGGTTATATTTCTTTGTGCTAGTAGTACTTATCCCACAAAATTTTCTGGACCTGTGTGATGTATTATTTATTTGTTTCCATAGTTGTTCAACTCATTCGCTCAACAGAGGTTTACTGAACATCTACTATATATCTACTGGTTGCTGGGCATATACTAGTTGTCAACACCGACATCATTTTTGCCTTCATTATCAAATACTCATAACAAACACATAATTGGAAACTATTAATATAAGAGAAAGGCTACAAAATGTTTGAGGGGAGGTGTGAGTATAAAGCCCTTCCTGAGGAAATGAGACTTGAAGGAGGAGGAGTAATTAAACACATAAAGAGATATGTTATCTCAAAGAGTGCAATGCGCACCACACGAAGGACTGACATATTTGAAACTCGGACTTAGGGGGAGAGAAGGGGTCAAGGGCAACATACGTAACCTAAACATCTGTACCCCCATAATATGCTGAAATTAAAAAAAAAAAAAAGGGAGAGAGATGTGATCTCAATCAGAAGGGACTTGCATGTACAAATGACTTGGGAAATTCAGTGTTTTTTCCCTAACATCTTCAAGATCGTCAGAATGCTGGAGCACAGAACATTGTGCAAGGCGGCTTACAGAATGATTTCCGTATTTTGACTTTTATCTTGAAACATGGTCTACAAATAGGTAGCTCCCTGCCTGTAAAGACTGGCAGACAAATTTTTGCTTGCGCATTTTTGCCAGCACGGTTTGTTTATAAAATCTGGATGCATTTAGGCGATGCACGCACTTTCGGATTTGTTACAAGCCACCTCTCTCTACTGTCCTCACACACGTGTACCTCCTGCCTGATCCGTGAGGCAACGGAGTTCGCAACCTTCGTCCAAGGACTATAAGATTCTGTACTTAAAATTGCATCAAGAGAAACGAGCGCAGAAGAAAAGGGCGAAATCGCCAGCCTGGCGCGAACTGCGCAGGCGCAGTCGGCGTTGGGCCGCGCGGAGGAAGGGGTGGGTCGTCGCGCCGCTGCCACTCACTGCGCATGACCGGCGCGCGTTACCAAGGCAGCTGGGAAGGCATCACCCGGAAGGCGAGCTCCGCTGAGCCGTGGGTACCGAGAGCCATCACGGGTGGGCTCAGCCCTTACTGGTTCCTGAGCCGATATTGACCACGGCCAAGCAGATGAAGAGCCGAGTTTGATACAATGTGATGACAAAGTCGGAAGATGCAAAAGAAGAGCAAGAATTGGCTCAAACGGAGAAAAGTGCTATGGCAGACCTTTGTGATGAAACAGAAACTTTCGGTTCCTTTACTGATGAGGTACAGAGTTCTGGTTTATTCAGCTTTTCTGGAGGACGGCAGTCCCGGTCCCTTGCCTCTGGGAGCAAACCGGAGAGTGAAGAGCCGACTACAAGCTTGGAGCAAGGCGACAAACAATCTGAGCTTTCAGACCTCAAAAATTATGAAAAGAAATTGAGTATAAAGTTGATCAACTACCTCAAGAGCAAAGGAACTAACTCTGGACGGTACCAACCAGACGCTGGACTTCAAACAGAAATTACTCAGGTATCCGATGAAGAATTGAATGCCCTGCAGTCTTTCTGCACCGTTAAGATAAACTTAATCCATCATAGAGTGGGCTCTAAAAAGAAGAGCAGCAGACATAAAAAGCTGCAACTTAGATTGGATGGAGAGTCTTCAGAGAAAGATCCCTTAAACTGTACTGTCCCTGATGGACTTTTGAACAGAATCTATTTTAAAAACATGAGGACAGTACCAAAACAGGTGACAGCATCTAAGCAACATATTTCTTCTCAGTGTCCTGATTGTAACAGGAAAAGGGCTGAGCTGGCCCAATCTGCCTTCTTGAAACAAAAGAAGACTTTACTGGAGTCAGTTCTACTCCAAGAAAAAATAGATGAGCATCTTTACACCAAAGACTTTCTCACCCGTATTGGAGAAGCACATCAAGACCTTCCCAGGCTTTCAGATGACCCCAGAATAATTTGGAAAAGACTGAATGAGAAAAGTCATATCAGATACTCTGGTTTTGAAAGGTCAGATACAGAGCAGAAGATTTAGCAAGATGGAAATAATGCTTGTTGTTCACCTTTTTCTCTACCACTTCTCAAGCCACTTACCCTAATCAAACAGATGGCGATTATCAAAGATATTATAATATGTAATGTGGATAGATGTGTATTTGAGTAATCACTATAATTTCTACAGGCACTTGGGAAACAAGTTTAAGACTTTACTATGCTTCCTCCACAAATTCGAGGACTGAGAACTTTCTGTCCGATACATTTTTCTGATTATAGAAGGCAATGTTGTAGTTGGAATAGTTACAAAGCTTTTACAACAATCCAAGAGGGATATGTTGTATTTGGACTAGGGTGTTGATAGTACAGAGAGAAAGAAGTACAGAGATGTAAGAGATATATAGAAAGTAATAACTGTCTTTGGTTATGAAATGGCTATGGGGAATTAATAAAGCATAAATGTTAAAAATGTTACTAAGAATGATTTGTGTGCCTGGATGAATGATATTTAATTTCATTAAGATAGAAACCACACAAGAGGACTGTGTTTGATGGGAGTGATCAAGAGTGTGATTATTTGTACATGGTTAGTTTGAGGTGCATTTGGGACATCTGTGCTGAGAGTTCGTTGATTACTTGTGCTTGTATTTCAGAGGAAAGGTCTACCCTAGAGGTCTGAAATAAGGGGGGGGGGTTATATGAGGGGAAAACCATTGGCATATAGTTGTAAATTGAAGCCATAAATGTGGTGAGCTTTTCTGAGAGAGACTAGAGTGAGAAGAGAAGCAGAGCTAGTATCAACTCCTAAGAAATGCCAGTTAATGGTTGGATAGAAGAGAGTAAACCTGCATAAAAGGTTGAGAAAAATTATCAGAGGGATAAAGGAAACCAGGCATGTATAATGTAATAGAGGCCACGAAATAAGAATATTTCAAGAAGGATGATTGTCTGAGCATGCAGAGCAAAAGAGTGATCATGTAAAGATGATTTAGTCATGTGTTGGGCACTGTTGAATTGAATTGAAATGAATGGTTGTCACCATTTCATTTAGAGAAATTGAGTATACAAAGTAGATCGAGGAATAAATTTAAGATAAGCAAATAAAGAATATGGATATAGACTTCTACTTGAAAAGTTTAGCTGTTGGAAAGAGAGGTGAAGCTGGAAGTAGATGTTGAGTTGAGGGAAGAATGCTTGAACAAATTACCTAAGAAACCATTTTGGACATGAAGATTTCATGAAACTTCTGTTGTTCATCCTAATTTTCATTCTGAGGAAATAGCATCATTCCCTGAGGAATACCATGGTATTTTGAAAACATTTATGGGGAAAAACTCTTAGTTGTCATTTTGAGAAATCATTTACTGTTTATTTTCTCTATAAAAATATAAACTGTAGAAATAGTGATATAACCTGGAGGTCATTTTTCTACATTTATAACACCTAAAATATTTCAGTGGAAAAGAAATTTGTTTGCAAAAATCAGCACAAAAGAATCTTTGTATTATATCTCAATATTACTCATTGAGTTAAGACCTTAATTTAGGGGGACCAAGGACAACATATGTAACCTAAACATCTGTACCCCCATAATATGCTGAAATAAAAGAAAAAAAAAGACCTTAATTTATATATAAAGATATTCTTTTTTCCTATAAAATTTAGCATATTTCTTCTAAGTCATTCCTAAATGGAAAATACTCATTACTTTTCATAATAACTTTTTATTTGAACTCCACATTATGTCATACTTTATCTTTGACATCTCAATATACCCACATTTTACATAATCAAAATTCTAAATAGTTTTCCATTTAGAATTCCCCCATTAAAGGTCATGCTCCACCCTTTTAGTCAATCAAGCTATAAATCTGAGTCATCTTTTGTTCTTCCTTTTTTTAAACTCATACCCAAACTATTTTTCAGCAAGACCTCTAGATTTCTCCTTTTCAATATCTTTTGACTATGACTCATTTTCATCTCATTACCACTCCTCTCATTATCTCTGCCCTCCTACTCCTACTTTCTCTCCTCTTCAATCCATTGTCCATGCAGTTGTCAGAATTATATTTCTAACACATAAATCTGTTCAAGTAATTCAGTTGATTTAAAACAAACAAAACCAAACCACTCTAAATGGTTTATCTCTGCTATAGAAATAGTTAAAACTAATTAATGCCACAAAGAGGTTCTTTAATGTCTGGCCCAAATTTGCCTTTCTAATTCCTCTCTTATTCTTCCCCCTCTATGTTCCGGCCTCTCTACAGGACTGACAAGTCCCTGAGCTCTCTTGTCCTTTATGACTGTGATTTACATGTCCACATTGGTTTGGCTCAGATTCTCTTAACTGCCCTTTTCAGCTGGTGTACTCTTTCTCTTCTTCCTATTCCTTTAGTTCTCAAATTTTATTATCTAAATAGATAATATATTTTCATGATTTAAAAATCTAAAGGAAATTAAAAGATTTAGTTTGCAAAGTCTGCCACCCTATTGCCATCTAACCTCATTCTACACTGGCCTGCCAGACCCTTGTCCTGCCAGAGTTATGTCTTTACATGATGAATTGTGGGGCAATCAGGTATCTTGGGATGAGAGCAAGAGGTAGAGGGAACTCAGGGAATTGAGGAGTGAACATTTACCCACCAGAACAGAAATATTTCTGTACTTTAACCAGTGCAACTTTCTTAGTGTGTAAGGGCTGAATATTCATGTTATCTATAAATAACCACTTATGTTCATTTCTTATCTATTCTTCCAGTGCTTCTTTATGCAAATACAAACACCCAAGATGGTTTACTGTGTACTCTCTTCTTTACCTTGCTTCCACTTCCCCTGTTTTAGTTTTGTTTTTCTTGTGGTAAAATGTATATAACACAGATTTGCCATTTTAACCATTGTTAATAGTACCATTCATTGGCATTATATTCACAAGATTGTGCAACCATCACCATTATTTCCAGAATTTTGCCCCACCTCAAAAAGAAATTCTCAATCCATTGAGCAGTAAATCCTCATTTTTCCCTGCCTCTAATCTCTGGTAACCTCTAATATATTTTCTGTTTCTAGAAATTAGCCTATTCTAGATATTTCTTATAAGGAGAATCATACAGTCTTTGTCCTTTTGTGTCTGGCTTAGTTTCAAGGTTCATCCAAGTTGTAGCATGTATCAGGACCTCACTCATTTTTATGGCTGAAGAATATTCCATTTTTTGTATATATTTCATGCATGTTTGTCTACTGATGGACATTTAATGTTGTTTCTACTTTTCTTCTATTGTGAATAATGTTGCTATGAACATTGGCATGCAGGTATCCATTTGAGCACCTGTTGGATCTATACTTAGAAGTAGAATTGTTGGATCACATGGTAATTCTATGTTTAATTTTTTGAGGAACTGCCAAATTGTTCCAAAGCAGTTACAGCATTTTACATTCCCACCAGGAATGTACAAGGGTTCTGATTTCTGCACATCCTTACCAACACTTGAAAAAAATTATAACCAACTAGTAGGTGTGAAGTGCTATCTCATTGTACTTTCTTTTCTACATCCGTTGAGATCATCTTGTAGTCTGGTGTATGCTTTAAACCAACATGAAAACTCACCTTCTCTGCACACTCATAACAGTTAAGCACTGACTAATCATAATTAAAGGCTGTAGGCTGTATGCTCTATGACATTAATATAAGTTCATATTATAAGAATCCTGTCTTAGTTAATACGCCTTTCTCTCTTATTGTGAGCAACTCAAGGGTGAAGACTCTTGTCTTACATCATATCCAGAGTGTTTAGCACAATGCCTCACACATGATGGTCCTCAACAAAAATTTCATAGGTTAAAAAAATAAGTGCTTCCAAACAATGGAATTCAGTATGTCTTTGCCACCAAAAGAAGAAAATAATCTGCTAGCATACTGTTATCTGTCAATATTCTTCATTTGTATAGCTGTTCTCTGTAAGTTTTCTTTCCTTATCTCTCCATGGGTTGGATTCCTGTTTAGCATGTATACATACACATTCTTTTCCTCACTGGAAAATTAGCATAAAGCTTTTTGATAAGACATCTTTCCAGGAAATATGCAGCTAATTAATACATTATTCATTTTTTAAGAACTAATATAAAAGATATTTCTATGCTATCCACATGTTCAAATAGAAAAGGTTAGAGATAATGAATGACTTTCTGTAATTTTGAAAATGTGTAAAAATCCTTGATGCTCAAACTTGAAAATATTGGGGTTTTTTGCCCCTGAATACATTCAAAAGGAATGAGTATCCTGTCTCCAAACTCTTTATAGCTTCACCCAAGAGATTCCAGTAGAGCTGAAATGGAAAGTCTATCAGATCAGGTGCTAAGAAACCACATATTTCCCCAATTGTTGCCATAGCACTAAAAATTTATTTGGCAAATTCGTACAGAATTATACAAATAATATGTATATATAATATATGTAATTGTAATATGAAAATTACATAAATATGTGTGCATTTATTAATAATACATAAAATAAAATTCTGCACCTAGAAACAAATCTATATGTTGAATAAATATTATAGTAATGAAACCCTCGAAACAGCAGTAAGTGATATGCCAGATTGAGAGAGAAAAGTAAGCTCAGTTCTGAACATCTGAGTCATTCAAATTCCAATCTCAGAACTGTTTAGGAATGTTTGGGACGCCCAGCCCAGAATACCTCCAATTTTAAACATGTTAGTTTATTTCATGATGAAGCCTAATATAGTCACTTAGCTCTTTCTGCAGCAGCATAGCTCAACAGGTTGCAAAGAAGTAGGGGTTGTGATTGTTGGTGGGCGTGGGCTCTCCTTCAATTTTGTCTGGAATTGGCAGATGAAAAATACATACACAAATAGTTAATTTGAGAGACAGAAAAAGAAAACATAGTTGAACTTCTATTCTCAGTTGAGAATACCCTTTGGAACAGAGAATCCAGAAATTTTCCAATTTGCAATCGACTCAAATTACAGTGAAAATTGCAAAATTCTCTGAGTGTTTCATGCTATCATAAGGCCTGGTTTTGATGAGCCCACTGTTTTCTGAAATATTAATTGAAGTTTAGGGAAAAATGTGTTGTAGTCATCCCACTCAAAATTTGCTGTAGGTGTCAGGACTAATAATGCTGCACATGTA